GCTCGCGAAGTGGCCTTTAAAAAGATAGAGGCTGACGCTGCGCTTAGGATGCGGCAATTGGAGTTGCAATCAGCGGGTCGCAGTCCAGTTTCCTCGTCACCTGTGGTCAGTGCGCCTGAGTTTGACGTGACTCAAAATATCCCGCTTGTCCCAACTTTCCGTGAGACTGAGGTTGAGTCCTATTTTTGTGTTTTTGAGCGCATTGCAGGGGCATTACACTGGCCTAGGGATGTGTGGGCAATCCTTCTGCAGTGCAACCTAAGTGGCAGGGCGTCTGAAGCGTGTGCATCTTTGGCAGTCTCAGACATGTTGGACTATGACTGTGTGAAAGGTGCTATTTTGCGGTTCTATGAGTCGTGGCCCAAGGCTCATAGTGCTTACGTTAGTCCCGCGCACGTAGTTGGAGCTTTTATAGCTGTTCGTGACCAGTCTCCAATTGATGGGGTGGAGTCCATCATGTGGGATGACAGTGCAGGTGGAAAAGTGTGTCCCATGAGCGTTTTGACCCACGCTCAGTCTGAAAGAGGGAGGCAGAGTGATATTGGTAATTCTGTGCTTGCTCCTGATTTTGCAGGTGTTGGTGCGCCCTCGTGTGGACGGACTGATAACACCACGGTTTACATTGAGAAGCCAGAGTTAATCACTTCTGTGTCCCCTCCACCCACAGATAAGAAAGCTGGTCGCAAGTTCAGTCTGGCTGGACTTGTGTTAAGTTGCGGCATACCTGGACCAACCAAACTGCTTGACGAGGTCTCTACCGAAATCAGACAGTTTGACCCTGGTGTGTTTCGGTTTTTGTCCTTCATGGGCATGGCGTTGGCAATGCTGCTGGCTCTGCAGCGCCTACATTTTTTGTTGGGTCGCCTTGTGTCCCGGTAACTTTCTTTTCAGACCACAACACCCTGGTTTCCCTGGCCCTGATGTCCAACCCGGATCAACGGCTGCTGCAGGGGCGCTGCTGACTGTAGACTACATCGTTCGTATCAGCACTGGAGTGGAAAGGACCATGTTGTGGCTGAGGCCTCTTGGCGTCACAGGGGACTTGCATTACCACTTGGGTGGTGGTGGTGGCACCCATATCCTTTCCCACTTTGTGAATTAGTTTGTGTTTTACAGAAGAACCTGTGTTTTCCTGTTAAAGAGGAGTAGAGCTTAGTTTTTATGGGGGGAGGTGTTACGGACAAAGTCCTTTTGGTTTTGGTATTTTGTTTCTCCTTGCCTCCACTTCTCAGACCCTCCCACCTCCAGCTGAGTGACGTCCCACTCACACCTGTGGGTAATCTGCTGGGAGGTATAAAGGGCCGGGATCGAGACCAGGCTGACTCTCTCTGCAACTTCGACCGTCCGCTGGACCAGTGGGTCTTGTCGCTGCACCTCACCTCTTTTGGAGCATTTTGTTTTGTGATTAAACAGTGGTTCTTTTGCACCTCTTTTAATAAACCTTTTACTTTTTGGACCTCCGCCTCCCGTCTCTGTTCCACACCCGGTTTTAATTTTGTTACTGAGCCACACTCCTAGACACCACCACCTTGTGGCTCGTAATAGGTGGCAAGAAGACAGAGCGGCACATACAAAACCATGGATGCGACGAGTAATTTTAAAAGAGTCAGTGGGCGAAATGCACTTTATTTAAGCACTTTAACGCAAGAAGATCGGAGGAGATATACAGATAAACTAAAGATAAGCATAGGAGAACGAACTGAACGGATTCAAAGCCCATATAAGACCTGGGATGACAACAGACGTTGGTCAGACTCGCCTCTGTCTTGGCCACCGATCTGCTGGGGAGACATTTACTTTTACTAAATAGAAAACCCGGGACCTTACATGCAAGAAAAGTTAAAGGCCTTTAAAAGTCTGAAGGCCTATGATTATTTTGTTTCCAGAAAGGTTGGGCCAATTTTTTCCGTGAAACATAAGTTCGTGATTGTGTTGAAAGCTGAGGTCAGACCAGGTCAAGCAGAGTCACAGCGGGATTCACATCTGCCGTGGGTGATAACGAAGGAGAATGGTGAAATCATCACTGCTCACTGCGACTGTAAAGCCGGGTAAGTTGTCATTGATCAGTGTGTATGTGTGTGTGTAATGGCTGTAGTACATTTTTAGCTGGTATGTGGATTGAGAATGTCCAAAAAAATAACTGAATATCAGCTCACACAATTCTTCCTCAAATCCAGTCTTGGAGAAACATGCAGTCATGTTTCAGCTTTACTGTTTAAAGTGGAGGCTGCAGTCAGGATAGGACTAACATCTGCTGCATGTACCAGTGAGGCTTGCAGGTATCAGAGCACAGAGCAGAATGTAATATTATTGTGTTGATAAGATTACATGTACACTTTTTAATATATTTTTAAATATTTCATATGAATTAGGTCTAAATATCTTCTCTAATATGTCTAATATGATCTCATTTTCAATGTTTCAGTTGGAATAGAGCTTTTGGAAGCAGCTCTCTGACTGCACTGCACCTGTCAATGAAATAAACTTCCAGCCCAGTAAGAGCAGCGAGACTGCCCCAAGGCCTGCGTGTGAGAAGAATGGCAGAACTCCCCTGGCTTGTACCAGAGGAGATGAAGGATACATGGAGGCAAATAGTACTTTACTCGGTGAACTGAAAACAATATGCCCCAGCGCCTGCGTATTCAAGTCCCTGCCCAGATTGGACCCAGAAGAGACTGATACAGCAAACAGCGAGGAGGATTACACTGAAGAAGAAGGTAATACTATACTAATAATGTACTTGTTTATTTGTTCATGTTATGAATTGTGTATTATTTTGCTATTACTCTTCTGTGTGCTGCACTTCCTATCTGTGCGTATAATGTGCTTTAAAACCATTTCATAAATATTTGTTATTCTGTTACAGCTATGGATGTTTCAGAGCACAACAGTGATACCTACCAGGTGTCTGTAACACCATGTCTGATACCACCGCGTCTACATGGCAAGGAGCCTTCTGGTACACCACCGTTCCCATTTAGTGGCACTAGGCTCCAAAGGTGGGGAGCGGTCCCACATGACATCTCAGCTCAACAAAAAATATATGTAGATTCACTCTCTGTGACATATGATCAAGCAAACACCCTTCAGAGAGAGACCGTGCGTCAGGCCGATTGTCCCAAATGGTTTCAGCTTAAAAACCCTAGAGTCACTGCATCTAATTTTGGAAAAATCTGCAACAAAATGAGCAGTAAAAGAGCCAGACCAGAACTTGTTGCACGCGACCTGCTTCATCCTAAGCCCCCCACTGAGTTCCAGAATAAAATGTTCAAGTGGGGAAAGGAAAATGTTGCCATTAAAATTTACAAAGGACTTCCCCAAAGAAAACATGTTTCAGTGTATGAGTGTGGGTTGTACATCAGCCCAGAAGAACCCATCTTAGCCGCCACTCCTGACAGAGTGTGTTATGATGTCACTGAGAAGAGAAAGTGGGGAGTGATTGAGGTAAAATGCCCATACCGTGCCCGAGACCAAAGCCCATCTGAGGCAGCACTATCAGAGAAGTTTATGAGCAAACTGAATAATGGCACATTAGAACTTAAACATGATCATGAGTACTATTGTCAAATACAAGGACAAATGGCCATTACTGGAGCCGAGTGGTGTGATTTTGTCATCTACACAAAAACTGGAATAGCCATTGAACGAATCCCATTTAACCCCCTGTTTTGGGCATCATCTGCTTGCAAATTACACAACTTCTTCTACTCTTACTTTCTTCCCATGTTCATTGCCTCACAAGAGTCAAAAGAAAATACTAAGGCACTAGACTAAATATTTTATTTCACCAATGGAGGTAGGAGATTGACAAGTGCAGCTATTATTGTGACAATATTGTCAGCATTCTTGAGCAGTCCAAAGTCCCACGTTGTGTTCAATATACGGAACTTCTTCATGCGACCAATTGCACGTTCCACCTGTTTAAAAAGATAAATGTGTGTATTTATAAATCACTCTGTATTTCAATTGTTTTTACTGCTGTGTTATTTGTGTTGGCCATTTGCAACAGGGCACTTTGTACAAATGTGTTAGGGAAAAAAATTGTTTGTTATCATTGCACATTTGAGCACTTTGGTTACAAAATCTATGCACTTTTAAGTATTGCCTATGTGTTTGATGAGTCTGAATTCAGTGGTCTATTTTGTTCAAGTATTTATTAGCTTTCTTAAAAAAATGTCATTTGAAAGATAACTTGACAAAATGTTAATAAATGTTTTGTAAACAACATCAATATGTCAGTTCTTTTGGAAACAAATGAATCATAAAAGGTAACTGCCTTTCCTACTCACATGAATTCTGACATTAGCAATCTTCCTTGAACCAATGACTTCCTTGTGGCTGAGCTGATTTTTGCCCTTGGTGAATGCAGGGATGACGAGGCTTGCTCCTCTGCAGAGAAGTTCTTCACGAATAAGGAATCCCCGATCTGCCATAACCTTCAATACAATCAGAAAATATTAATGTAATCAATATTGTCTCCATGAATTATGCTACAACTATTCTTTGCTAGTGGGTTTGGATGGCAATAAGTTTATTTACCTGGTCCCCATGCTCAAGCTGTTGCAGGAAACCACTGTTGATTGTCAGCTCCTTGTCTGACACCCGGCCGCCCCAACACTTTGACAGAAAGCTAACTGCCCCTGTTGGAGTAATTCCTACCAACAACTTAATTGTGTTGTGATGTTTGTAGTTTGAGTATGTGATGTTTCGAGCAAGTAAATTGGATGGCCGCTGTATGAAGATCTCACTGCAATCGATTATGACACGAGTGTTTTTGTAGGCTGTGGTGTGTTTGAATGCTTTGGGAAGGTTTCTAATGAGTGCCCCTTTTTCTGGCCACACTATCAAGAACTTTAGGGCGTCAGCCATTATAGAACTTCCAACATTCACAATCTGTGTTACTTGGTCAGTACTTATTTGGAATCTGAAGCAAGACAAACAAAAAAGTGTTAATAATATCTGTAATAAATCTAGCTATAGCAATTTAAAACCAATGAATCTCACCTGTATGCTAGGTCCTTGTTCTGCAGCCCAAGCCTCAATTTCATTAGAATAAGAAGGACCTTGTCTGTAATGCTCAATTTCTTGCAGAAGGAGGGCAGTTGATGAGCAGAAACCACTTCAACTATCCAATTAAATAGTTTAGAACTTCTGACACCTTGAACAAAAAGACGAATATCTACATGTTATATTGATATAAATATTGCTTGAATAGAGTTAAATAGTTAAATAAAAGGTGTATTTTCCCTAAATTTCAGCAGGTAAAATTCCTGTTATTGTAATATTATTTAATATATAATATTACTGATATTATAATATAATATCAGTAATATTATATATTACTGATATTATAGTAATATATGGTAGTAATATAATATTACTACCAACTGAGCTCAGTTGGTAGAGCATTGGCCTTTGAGCCAGAAGGTCGTGGGTTCAAGCCCCGCTCAAGACTTTCACCATCGACTCCCACTGACTACTGTCGTTGTGTCCTTGGCAAGACACTTAACCTCTGGGAACACCAGCCACAGTGGGGCGGCTGCGGCTGTAAAGTGCCAAACTGCCGTTGTGTCCTTAGGCAAGATACTTCACCCCCATTGCCTAGAATGAGTCTGGTGTGCGTGTGAATGGTTGGTGGTGGTCGGAGGGGCCGATGGCACATACTGGTTGCCTCGCTTCTGTCAGTGTGCCCCAGGGCAGCTGTGGCTACATTAGTAGTTCATCACCACCGTGTTTGGAGTGAATGAATAATGACACATGTGAAGCGTCTTTGAGTGTCCAAAAAAGCGCTATATAAAACCGATGCATTATTATTTAAGTGTGATCATATTTAATCAATTTAAGATAGTATATTGTTTTGAAATAGTCAGTAATAATACACTTCAAAACACATACCTGTGAAATAGTTGAGTTGTTTCTCGCTCAGATTTTTTGCTGTAAAAACTTCTTTATCCAGAGCTTCTTGCAGTGTTCGGCACTTTTCATTGAAGTAGACACTGGATTCTTTCTGCATCAGAAGTTGTTCTGCCAGTCTCTTGTTTTCTGCTTCGAGTAACAGGATTCTCGCGGCCTGTTCACAACTAGCGGTCTTTTCATTTACAGAAGGAGGGTCAGGATCAACTTCATAGTCCATGGTTTCGTCTATGTTGGGACCCGGACGCATAGCAGAGGTAGAAGACATTTCCAACTCGTGTAGCCTTTTGTTCCTCCGTTTATATCGCTGAACCGACTTTGCTTTTGCACTTGAGTGTTCAGATCCATAGCCCATGTTGATATGAGGAACATAGTCTGGGTGCTGTGGATCTCTATTTGGGAAACCTGAATCAGACGCAAACAACAGTGACTATGTTTATAGTATGATCTTGTCGAAATAATTCAAACACAGGCATTACAACTTACCATTAACAAAATGAGCCCCACATACTCTTTGTGATGATCCCGGAATCCAGGCTTTCTTCTGAAAGTTCACTCTCCTAATCGCCCGCAACCATTTCTCGCGTTTTTCGCTGTTTTTCGCCGAAGGAATTCAAAAAAAGCATTTACCTGGCTCCCAGCGGGTCGTACAACTGACCACACAACAAGAGTGGACCATTTGATATGGTAAAATCTCCTTCCAAACGTCTGAAACTAGCGAACTCTCTAGCAAATAAGTAGCAGTCGCTGCTTTGTTGCCACCCAACCACGTGACCGGCGCGAAAAAAATATCAACAATGACGTCACTCCAAGATCCTCCTATAGCAAACAAAAACAGACTTGGCAGTGTGGTTAAAGTGGCCTGTAAGGTGTCAGGGAGAAGAGACCTGTACAGTAAGCAGGTGCTGAGGAAGGCCAATTCTATAATTGGTTCTTTGGACCACTCCCTGAGGGAGCAGTTTGAACTTTTACCCTCAGGACGACGCTATAGGGCCCTTGGTGTAGAACAAAACGGCTGAGAACTACATTTATTTCGACAGCTGTGAAGCAACTTAACAGCACATAGCACTTTGTACAAACTTTTGCACTTTACAGCATATTTGTACTGGAAAAATTATCTTTGTGACAATCTCTCTTGTTCTTGTTTTCTTCAATGATATGATTTTACTGTCTGCCTGTTTTTAGATGATTGTTTTATGCAAAAACAATTTTCCCCAGTGGGTCTGTCAAGCGGTCTTCTTAATTTGGTGATTGCCCCCACGCTGAAAGGTGAAACTTGAGGACATGCAGAGGACTTACCTCAGTCCTTTAATTTTGAAGTTTATTTTTTAACAGCAGTGGCACGCATCAAAGCAAAAGCAGCAAGTAGCAGACGCAGATGCAGAGCAGAGCAGGTAGAAAAACCTTTTGAAAAACACAGACAATACCCAAAAACAGAAACCTAAATCATAAAAGCATGATTACAATTGACCCAAAAACAATTCAATTTAGCATGATTAATACGGCTCAGTGAATGTAAGAGTTTCCCAAATTAGCACAATTGAATAAGAATTTCACATTTCAATAATTCAGTGAACAGATGCAAATTAATTACATTAATACTAATATACATTAATTAGATTAATTTAGCAAACAATTCCCATGATTAATCCATTATCAATAATGCATATTCATAAAACAGCTTTTGATTGCTTCTCATAGCAATCAAATACACTAGCACTTAAACACAGCCCATGATTAACGTTACATCACTACTGCACTCTCCCGATGTCCCGCTCTCCCAAAGTTTAAATGTTCGAGGCGGACCGCGCCTTAAAAAGTCTATACAACCAAGTGGGTCTTACCGGCTGCCTCCTCAGTTTTGGATTGCGGGTACTACTACACTTTTGTTTACGGGAAAAAACCCGGAAGCGCCGGTCGCTTAAATAGTCTGGGTTACTCACAACTCAGTGTATTTCAACCTTTTTTGAGCCAAGGCACACTTTTTTCATTGAAAAAACACCACCATGAGAAAATGTAAAAATATATACTCTGTAGCCTATATTCACAATATAAAGTCATTCTTATCATAGTGCTTAAAGTCAGGCCTTGACATTAAGCTTGGTTTAATATTGCTCAATACAATGAGTTATTAAGAGTTTGGGAATAAAGTGGCACTAACTGTGGGGAAAGAAACATACAAAAATCCACTCTCAGCCCAAAAAGTCAAATAATGACTCAGAGGGCTCTAATGTGTGAAAAATAATGATTAAAAAATGCCCTGCTGTGTGTTCTGTTTGATTTGTTCACAACATTTTACTTTTTGCGCTAATAACATGCATTTTAAATGCATGGGGAAAATGTAGGTATCCGTGCTTTAAATTCAGGAGTTTTGCGCTTCGGCAAGAGACACAGGAGAGACTCGGGGAGACACAGGAGATGGTCCTGAACACGAGTCAAGGACCGCGCAGATGGTTCTGTCCACGACTCCATGGTTCTGTCCACACGTCTACGGTCCTCGTGCGGCACCATGTTCCAAATGTGCGTTTGCTGAGCTGTTGTCAAAGCGGCTGTCAGTACAAAACGGGCCACAGCTGCCCCGGGGTCAGAGCGGAGGATGTGAATCCCGTTCAGAAATGGCATAATTCCGTTTCAAAAACGTCTCAATAACTTTCACTTCTCACTCGCCAAAATTCTCCCCGCTGCCTCTTACGTTGGTTGTTAAATCCAAGTCTTACATTTCAAAGTACTTAGCTTTCTGCTGCCACCTACTGACCTGAAAAAGTATTACGTGGTTACGCCACAGTTCAAGACAAGTCCGCGCTCGGCAAAAGTGAATGCAGTTATTTTTAGAATTTATCACGGCACACCAGACAATATCATACGGCACACTAGTGTGCCGCGGCACAGTTGTGGAAAAACACTGGACTAACTAATCCCTGTAAGTAGCGCTACAGGTACAATAATGATAATTTATCTCTTAGGCAGTGTGCAGCGGGAGCCACGAGAGGTCCCACCGCATAACTCCTCAAATGTGGTGCTCGTCATTCAGAAGTTTTGGATCCAGAGTTCCTCTGTGAAATCATGTACCACTACTTCCCAAAAGCTTGTCATACGCATCCTCTCCCAAGTGTACAGAGATTGCTCCATTGCATTTACAATAAGATGCTGCAGACGCTTCATTGATGGTGAGAGCCACCGCTGAGGCCGAGATATAAACATTCATTATTTATTTATTTATTTATTTACTTGTCTCAAAAAAGTTTTGAAAATGTATTCAATCCAAACGCAGCTGAATATAGCATATATTTCTTTTTAAACAAACATGAATCAACTCAACTTTCCAGGATTACGTTTCACAGCCTTTTGAGGCTTCCAAACAGTCTTCCTGGCCGACTTTCATTCAGCATGTTGTAAAAACGGGGCGTGAAACAGGCGGTGGCTGCATATTTATAGGCGTGACTTTCATAAATCCGTGCGTTTTCAGCGCGGCATTTTTCAACTGCCACAGGAGCTCACGCTCAGATCTGGAAAGATCTCACACGTTCACAAATCCCACGTTGGATCTGGTCTTTGGAATATACACCTTTTTCTGTGCAAGTTTCATAAATGAGGGCCATTGAGAGCACAGAGTGATTGTCCCATTAAGCTAAAGTCACGCTGAACTGAATATTGTCCAGAGATTAGACTGCCCCATTGAGTCATAGGTAAAGACTTTATATTTAGTCGTAAAACATAAGTAATTACATGTGATTGACCTTAGTAAAGAGTTTGAATCCAGTGTCTTACTTGACTCTGATTTCAAGCAGCACATGAGTTTGATGAGGCTTTAAGCATTTTTGCTAGCAGGAGGCTGGAGCACATTGATGTGTATTGATGGTGTCCTTTAACTCTATCCACAAACAAATGGAAGCCATGCGCAACAGCTGCAATGAAACTTGCAGATTCATTAGCATAAACGTATGCATGTTCCCCTAAAACGAGATGTTACATTGTACTAAAATACTTCAGAGGACAAGAAATAAAACAAAGTTGCTACTGACTCCTCAGCAATCCTTCATTTTTGCATAATTTAGGAAAATTAAATATTTGCACTAAAAAGGATTGGGCCTAAGCTATTTAATCCGGCCCGCGACTCATTTTCAATATAAGTATGATTTTTTGGCATCTTCTGCGCCGCTTTAATTACGCTTTCACAACGCTTCCGCGACGCATCCGCACCGCGAAAGCGGCGCGAAGGGTCCGCCGTGTCCAGCACCTCTACCTGCGCGTGATATGAGCCTTCATTTGTCACGAGCAGCCCTCAACAATGTCCGCCCATGCTAAAAAAAGAAAAGTAGATACCGAATGCAGGATTTTCAACAAACATTGGACTGCTAAGTATTTATTTGCTGAAGTTGGAGCTAACGCTGTTTGTTTAGTTTGCAGGAGCAAGTTGACGTGTTTAAGGAGTACAATGTGAGTCGGCATTACCAGACGAAGCACGCAGAGAAATACAAAAACTTAAATTATGCTGAAATGGCGCGGACATCGAAAACTTTGCTAGCTGCACTGCAAAAGCAACAAGACGTTTTCACCAAGCGCTATGCAACCAGGGATGCAGCAACGAGGACCAGCTTTGTGATTTCCCACAAGATTGCTAAAAACAGTAAACCATTTGCAGAGGGAGAATTTGTTAAAGAGTGCTTGGTGGACTCTGCTGCGCTAATATGCCCGGAGAAAAAAGGAGCATTTGAACAAGTACCGCTGTCCAGGCGAACGGTGACAAGGAGGGTCGAGGACATCGCAGGGAATCTGGAGCTTCAATTGCAACATGAAGTGGCACGTTTTGACTGCCTCTCTTTGGCTTTGGACGTATATGTTCGTGGGATAACCGGCTTCAAGATCACGCAGGAGCTGGCAGCAGTGCGGGCCGATGAAAGGGACCACAACAGGGGCTGATCTGTTCACGGAGGTAAATGCGTGCATGGACACACTGGGATTGAAATGGGAGAGACTGGCAGGTGTCACAACAGATGGTTGTCCAAATCTTACAGGGAAAAATGTTGGACTTTTGAAACGTATTCAAGATAAAGTGACTGAAATGAATGCAGATCAGAAAGTTATATTTTTGCATTGCATTATACACCAACATATTTTGTGCAAGTCAGTGTTAAAAATTAACCATGTTATTGATGTTGTTGCTAAAATAGTAAACTTCATCAGGGCACGGGCATTGAATCACAGACAGTTTGTTGCACTTTTGGAGGAGCGAGACACTGAGCATATTGACATCGTCTACCACACAGC